CTCTTCCTCTTCCTCTTCCTCTTCCTCTTCCTCTTCCTCTTCTTCTTCTTCTTCTTCTTCTTCTTCTTCCTTCTCCTCCTCCTCCTCCTCCTCCAGACAAGATCTCTCTACATAGTCATGGCTGAACTCACTATGTGGACCAGGCTGGCCTTGAATTCACCTGCCTCTGCCTTCTGAATGCTGAGATTAAAAGCACACACCACCAGCCATGGCCCAATATTTATTTAATTTATCTGTGGGGTTTTTTTTTTTTTGAGACAGGGTTTCTCTGTGTAGCTTTGTGCCTTTCCTGGAACTCGCTTTGTAGACCAGGCTGGCCTCGAACTCACAGAGATCTGCCTGCCTCTGCCTCTCGAGTGCTGGGATTAAAGGCATGCACCACCACCGCCCGGCTAATTTATCTGTTTTTGAAGCAGGTCTTACTATATAGCTTTGGCTGCCCTAGAACTCACTATGTAGACCAGGCTGGCCTTGAACTCACAGAGATCTACTTGCCTTTGCTTCCTGAGTGCTGGGATCAAAGGCATGCATATGTATCACCATTCTTTGTGTCATTTTATTTATTTATTTATTTATTTATTTATTTATTTATTTATTTATTTATTTATTTATTTATGGTTCTTTCTTCTTTTTTTGTTTTTGTTTTTTTGAGACATGGTTTCTCTGTGTAAAAGCCCTGCCTGTCCTGGAACTCACTTTGTAGACTAGGCTAGCCTCTAACTCACAGAGATTCTCCTGTCTCTGCCTCCCCAGCGCTGGGATTAAAGGTGTGCATCACCATGCCCAGCCCATTTTATTTAAAAATTTTTTTTTGTTTGTTTTTCAAGATAGGGTTTCTCTGTGTAGTTTTGGTGCCTGTCCTGGATCTCACTCTGTAGACCAGGCTGGCCCCGAACTCACAGAGATCCGCCTGCCTCTGCCTCCTGAGTGCTAGGATTAAAGGCGGGCACCACCACCACCACCTTATTTAAAAAAATTTAATTATGTGCTTATACATAATTATATATTATGTCCATGTAGGGGCTGGCTGTGCTTCTGTGAGTGCAGGTGCCCTTGGAGGCCAGAAGAGGGCATCCGATCCCCAGAGCAGGGCATGCTCTTTGCACTGAGCCATTTTTCTAGCCCCATAACTTCCACTTTTTTTATTAGATGTTAACATTATCATTTAATAAAAATACTAGTATTATCATTAACTGTTTTAATGTTGTATAACAACTAAATGATTAAGAGAGCGCACATTAGAGTTTACTGCCGAGGTCTTAATCCTAACCTTTCAATTAGTAACTATGTGACACTGGGCAAAGATCTTTTCCTTCCTCTCTCCATTTTCTCACCTGTAGCATTTGTAACAATTACTGTCAATACTGTAACAGTGCCTATGGTTTGTGTTAGAAACCTCTGTAGAGGGCTGGAGAGATGGCCCAGCAGTTAAGAACACATGCCGCTCTTCCAGAGGACCCCAGTGGATTCTCAGCACCCAGTTCTAGCGGGTCCCATCTACCTGTAACTCCAGCTCCACCGTATCTGATGTCCCCTTCCGGCCCCTGTGAGCACCTGCCCTCCTGTACACATAAACCCCGATACCATACACATAATTTAAAAAATGAAACAAATCTTTGAAAAAAAACCCACATCAGTAGAGAAGTTAGAAACATGTTACAAACCACTGTAAAATTGTCACTAGTATATTTTTTCAAAAATGAAACTGGAAAATAGCCAGTCCTGTGTCTATCGCTCATCCTTTGGCGTTTTCTACTTGAAAGACTCTATCTAGGATTCGTGACCTTCCTTTCTCTACACCCATCATCCCCTCTATTCCAAGCTCTGGGGAGAGTTAATCCCTCGGCATTTTGAACTTTGCCGTGCAGGAAAACGAAAAGACTCCTCTTTCCTCCCCGCTTTAACCCTTCTCATACCGGAGTAACTCATTTGGGACCCAAGGGTGGAGTCGGTGCCGCCCCCTGGTGCAGCAGTGAAGACAGATACCGGGCCACCTGTCAGAGGGCTGTGGGCGGGGGCCGGGTCAGCGAGGCCCGCAGAACCGAAGGCTGAGCGCCGCTGAGCGCACGCTCAGAGCAGACAGCTGGAAGCAGGCAGGACGGAGAGCCTAAGACACCGGGGCTGACCGCCAAAGGGAGGGAAAGGTGGTCAAGGAAACCGGCCAGGCCAAGTACGCGGGGCGACAGCCAGGAGAGTCCAGGGCCAGCGGTGGCTGCCGAAGCAGCCCTACACCTTATGCGCGGACGCAGCGCAGGCGGGAGAGCGAGGACGCGCCGGGCACGGCGCGCTGACCCCGCTGGGGCGCACGGGTGCCATGTCGTGCGAGCGGCCTCCGCGCACCGACATCCCTCGCAACCTGAGCTTTATAGCAGCGCTGACCGAGCGCGCCTACTACCGCAGCCAGCGACCCAGCCTCGAGGAGGAGCCGGAGGAGGAGCCGGGGGAGGGCGGGACCCGGCCCGGTGCCCGCTCCCGGGCTCCCGTGCCGGCTCGGGGCCGTAGGGCCCGCTCTGCGCCCGCAGGTGGCGGCGGGGCCCGGCCAGCCCGCAGCCGCAGCCCCGACACCCGCAAGAGAGTGCGTTTCGCCGACGCGCTGGGGCTGGAGCTGGCCGTGGTCCGCCGCTTCCGCCCGGGGGAACCGCCCCGGGTGCCCCGCCACGTGCAGGTGCAACTGCAGAGGGACGCCCTGCGCCACTTCGCGCCCTGCCCGCCGCGCACCCGCGGCCTCCAGGTAGGCGCCCCGCTGTGCCCCGTCTCCTGTGCCCCCCTCTCCCCGGACCTCGGCCTGAGCTCTCCAAGTCCTACCCTGCCTGACCTGCCTCCCTGCCCTCTCTCCGCAGGAGGCGCGCGCCGCCCTGGAGCCCGCCCGCGAGCCCGGCTTCGCCGCCCGGCTGCAGGCGCAGCGCATCTGCCTGGAGCGCGCCGACGCGGGCCCTCTGGGCGTGGCCGGGAGCGCGCGCGTGCTGGACCTGGCCTACGAGAAGCGCGTGAGCGTGCGCTGGAGTGCGGACGGCTGGCGCAGCCTGCGGGAGTCGCCTGCCGCCTACGCCGGCCCGGCCCCGGCCCCACCGCGGGCGGACCGCTTCTCCTTCCGCCTGCCGGCGCCTCCGGTCGGCGGCGCGCTGCTTTTCGCCCTCCGCTACCGGGTGACCGGCCGCGAGTTCTGGGACAACAACGGCGGCCGTGACTACGCGCTGCTTGGGCCCGAGCACCCGGATGGTGCCGGAGTCGCCGAGCCCCAGGGCTGGATCCATTTTATTTGAGACTGGGCTCCTGCCGGCCACAGCAGGGAAAAAACAAAAACAAAACAAAACAAAAACAAAAAACAGAGGCACCCGGGGGGCGGGGGAGGCTGTGGCATCAGGAACCCGGGAACCACGGTTGGCAGATGGGTGGAGAGCGGTCCCAGAGAGTCAAGCAGAGGAGGCTGGAAACCTCCTGCGAGGCTCAGAGACTGTAGGGTGGAGAACATCAGCTGGGTGTAAGTGAAAAGAACTCAAGGAATTCGAGGAAGGAGTCCCAGGCTCTGGAAAGTTAAGCCTCCTTGGGCTAGGACGCATTATGGATTGAGCAACCTTGATGTATGAAGTCCAGCACAGTGACGTCATTCGGATTGCTTCCCTCTTGCTGGCCTTACCACCTCAGGTCCCCCATGTTCTTCCCATCCTAGCTTTATCTGAGCCGAAATTGCCTTGCTTAGCCCCAGAAATTTGACCATTGGCCCCAGGGCCCTGGCAGTATGACAGGATTCCCTTGACTCTCAGCAGTTCGTGGCTTCAGTCTTCAAGGCACGGTGGGAGAGCGGCCTCCGGACAAGCCCCGTTAGGAATATAGAAACTAACTCCGGGCCTGCCCTCATAATTGCCAAATGATGGGGCATCTAAGGGGTTTGCGTAGTCATGCTTCCAGAAAGATGAATGCCAGCCTTACTTTTCTGGGTGCCTTCTTAAAACCTTGAAGCACTTTATGGACTGTTTGTCAAGGGACAGTGAATCATGAAAAGTCACTACTGATTGATTCTTTGTGCCTCTGAAAAAGAGGAAACCACTGAGTGTATGATTGAGCAGGTTATTTGGGGTGGGGTGGGGCTCCTTTTTCCTCTGTGAGAAACTGGATCTGAGTTAGGTGGCTCCCTATAAGGCTACCTTTTTTTTTTTTTGGACAGGTTGGACAGGGTCTGTAGCCTAGGCTGGCTCCGGCTCTCAGCCCTCCTGTAGCCTCTGCTGTGCTGGGGTTATTGGTGTGAGCCACTGTGCCCTTAGGGCTACCTTTTGGTGTTTTATGATCTGTTCCAGGCACGGTTATAGGTTAGAAACTTTTCTCCAACCTAGTGCTACAGTTAAAGCCCACACAGCAAGCCAGGGGTAGTGGCTGTTTGAGTTTGAGGCCAGCCAGGTACTATGATTGATTACCAGGCTATCCCGGGCTACATGAGACTGTCTCAGAAAATTAAAAGAGGAAACAAGGCTTACCTAGCCCAGTGAGCCTGTGGTTGGGGGTTTGTTTGTTTTGGGAGGGGCGCACAGATGATCCAGGACACCGGAAGCATAACCAGCCAGTAGCCACAGTGCATTCCACAGCTTCCAAGCCATAGCTCATCCTCTGCCATCTGGTTCTTGCTTTTACCTCCACAGACTTCCAGTCTGGGTCCCCCGAGAAAAAGGAGAAGGGTATTGCTGTTAGGGAAAGTGATGGATGGGAGCCCCAGAATGAAACAGCGTTGGAACCCCGGAGATTATGGGTATAAGAAATGGAAAACAAGAATGGCACCAGAAGGTGGTAGTTTGATCCATATCCTGGGCCGTTGAAATGGAAACCCTGGAGTCTAATGTAATACCCATCCACATTTGCACCCCATGTCCTTCCTAGGGAGGGGCTACGTTTTTGCTGGTTGTTTCTCCTTTCCTTGTCTTTCTCCCTTCCCTCACTTGTGTCTTTTTAAAGATTTATTTATTTATTATGTATACAGTGTTCTGCCTGCATGTATGTCTGCAAGCCAGAAGAGGGCACCAGATCTCATTACAGATGGTTGTGAGCCACCACGTGGTTGCTGGGAATTGAACTCAGGACCCCTGGCTAGCGCTCTGGACCTCTGAGCCATCTCTCCAGCCCCCTCACTTTTTGTTTGTTTGTTTGTTTGTTTGTTGTTTGTTTGTTTTGAACATGTAGGGCATTGATTTGCCTTTATTTCCTCCCTGCATCCTTGCTGGTCTCTGTGGGACATCCCCTTTCCCTTGAGAGGGGATGGGGATTATAGCTCCTTTTCTCAAAGGCCGTAGTTGATCCACCGTCCACAGATGCCTCCTCGACAGTTCTTTAAAGGGGAAGGATGTTCCTAATGTTACAGTTGAACAAGGACCTCGCACATCCCTTCCCCTAGCCAGTTTCTCAATGGAACACCTTCTTACCCCACCTCTTCTCCGACAGGTACCCACACATACACTCAGAATCCAGTTTGGGGCTCGCTCCTTTGCCCCTCCAGTCATTCCCCAAACAAACGAACATCTGAGCATCATCTTACCTGGTGCAGAAGACGGTTTGCTGCATCCTGTGGATCACCTTCAGGTTCAGCAAAGTAAAGGGAGGAGCTGTCTGGACACCAGTGAACAGTGTACTCTCTAGTCTAGGTTCAGTTGTTATGACAACGTCATTCCTAATGTGTGTGTGTGTGTGTGTGTTACTGTTACGTCATATTAACCATAGTAACAGCTCCCATTTAACTTTTGTGTGCTAAATGTGTTTTACATGCATGTTTAAAATAGCACTGTGACTTGAGTATTATTATCCCTGTTTTAGAAATAAGGCTAGGCTCAGTAATTTGTTCAGGAGTGCAGGATTGTGAACCCAGGAAGTTCCCACAGTCTGTGTGTGTGTAACCATGGTGGTATGTATTTTTCTTCCTTTAAGAGCAAAATTAAAAACTTTGCTATATATCATCTATTGTAGGGAAGGACCATTGTTCTTCATTATGCTGTGCCTTCCTGTCCTCCAAGGGCCCCAGACCTTTATCTCACTGTCACCTGTGCCAGCATCCCAGCTCTGCAGGGTCATCAGGGCACTAGCCCATCTGTCTGCTAGAGAACTTGGGAACCCGCTTTAATGCCTGCTTTGCATACAGTGCAGTTCTCTCCCAGCTCTGGCCAACCCTCCGCCATCTGGGCCACTTTCCCCCTCCCCCTCCATTATCCTTGACCAGGAGATTCTTTGATGTTCCTTGAGAAAGGGTCCCCACTTAGGACAACTGCTAGGTAGTCTCTGCTAGGCTTCCTCTCTAGGATTCCTGGTATTACCAGTTAGGTAAATGAGAGCTTGGAACAGGACACCCCGTTTCCTGAACTTTCTCTGTAAGAGGTACCATGGCTCATTCTATATGGAATGGTATGGAGTCCACTGTATATGGAAGAACAGGAACCTTCTAGGTTGTTCGGTTTGGTGTTTTTTTTTTGTTTTTGTTTTTGTTTTTTTTTTTTGTTTTTTTTTTTGAGACAGGGTTTCTCTGTGTAGCCCTGGCTGTCCTGGAACTTGCTTTGTAGACCAGGCTGGCCTTGAACTCACAAGGATCTACCTGCCTCTGTCTCCTGAGTGCTGGGATTAAAGGCATGCGCTGCCGCCCTGCCACCACCCAGCATCTTCTGGTTCTTTACTGAGCTGCTACAGCACTCAAGAATAAGCTGGTACTTTTCTCTAGTCCCCAAGGTTGGATGGACCTGGACTGACCTACCTCCTTTTGCGCCCAAACAGTAGGTGCCTCGTCCTTGGAACCCTGGACTAACAAAGCTGACAGTGTACCACAAGCCTTGTACAGCGGGAAACGGACCTATTACGAACTGTCTTGAGTGTTATCTGTGTGCCTAGTCCTTTTGAGATTCCCAGAAGATAGTTCTCGTCCAGATGGCTGCTTTCCTGGTACATGAGTTCAAGATTCTCCCTGTCTCTGGCCTTTCCTTACCTTGTACTGGGCTAGTGTAGCAGAATCATAAATCCTACCACCTATCCAAAAAAAAAAAAAAGCGAGACTCCTTTTCTTTCCTCACACTGTTCTTTCCGAGACTCAACCTACATTTCTTACAGCGCATGAGCAAAGAAGAGTATTCCCAGGGGAGAGATCAGCTGTCAGCTCCCACCCCTTGCTGCCTTGGTCCAGCCAGACATGGGAAATGGCTGTTGTTAATTGTTTGCTCAGATTTTAGGAGTCCTGCATCCGGCCTGTGGTGGGGACTTTCTCAGTGATTCCCATACACTGGAAAGTGCCACGAGAGAACATGACTGTCCTTGAGGATTGCAGCGCGAACCCCCTTTCCCTTCCACTGGATGTCAGGAAGCCCCCTACACCTACCTGTCTCGCAGCCTCCTCCTGGCCCTTCATCTTCCCATCTCCCTCTTTTTGATGTTTTGACTTGAAATGTGGTCCTACCGCTTAGCCCAGCCTGGTCTCAAACTTGTAATTGCTGTGCTACGATGCCAAACTGCTGGGGGTGTGGGTTCCCACGGATCCACACGCACTCAGAGGCACTTTAAGGATGAATTTCGCCTTTCTGGGCTGCAGGGGGGATCCAGCCTCTAAGGACGGAAGCACTTTCCCTTCGCCTAGGGCATTTTTATTTTTCTCAATATTCACACGTTAGCAAGTTGATTTTCATATGCTCAAAACAACCTGAAAGGAGCTCCCCAAAATATAATGCCAACTGCCAACTCCTCGATTCGTCAGGTACTATGGTTTTCCTGAACCAAGTTTTGCATAGGCCTTTGTGCCCTTGGGAGACTCTGAGACAAGATTCACATAGGGTGACTAAAGGTGTGGGTTAAACAAAGGACGGGTTAGGGCCCGTGCTGCGCTCTGGAGCCAGGCCAGGGGTAGCTCGGCAGGAACGCAGCCACACCCACTTCTTTTTAAGAAAGTTACCTGTTTCTTTCATAATAAGCCCTACCTCTGGCTCCTCCAACTGAACGCAGACATTTTTGCTTCTTGTGCGTATTTGTTGAGAGCTCCTCTGGACGCTTAGCAGTCACACACAATCAGAAATGTGAAAGGCCTGTCTCTAGAGATCCTTGGGTTCAGGTTCCTTCACAGAAAACACAAATCCTGGAGTGAGAAGTGGGCAGCGGTTGTCATAATTTGTCAGTGTGCTTCAGAGACAGGACTTAACCCTTGGTCGGATCTCCTGACCACCACATCTCACTACTCACCCTCGACCGTTATGGCAAAAGATTGCTTAGCTGGGCTTGGTGGCACACACAACTTTAATCCCAGAGGCAGGTGGTTCTCTGCGAGTTCGAGGCCAGCCTGGTGTCCAGAGTGAGCTCCAGACAACCAAGGCTGTTAAATAGAGAAACCCTATCTTGAGGTGGGGGGCAGCGGGAGAGGAAGCTGGGTGGTGGTGGTACGTGCTTTTAATCCAACACTGGGGAGGCAGAAGCAGGTGGATCTCTATGAGTTTTGAGGCCAGCCTGGTCCACATAGTTTCAGGACAGCTAGGGCGACACAGACTCTGTCTCAAAAACAAGAGATTACGTCTTGACCACCCCCTCCTTCCCGACTAGTGCCCTTCCCTCTCCAGGAAGGGGTAAGGTCTCTCTCCCCAGCCTTG